TATGTATGTATGTATATATATATATATATATATATATATCCCAGTGGTAGTGAAATAAATATTGAAGTGACAGACAATATAGGCAAATACGTAATTTAATTTTAGTCATCACTTAAAACATGATAAAATAACTAGCAAGTCATCTTTATATATATTTAAACAATGTAAATATAATGGTAGCTAAAGCTATAGTACTGTGTGCCAAAAACACGGACCATACTAAATAACATTTGATCTAATGATCGGATCTTCATGTTTTAGGACACATTCTTAATGGTTCAAGGGGATGACCTCAAATATGCTAATTAATTAGTGAAAACAATTTTTTAAGTTACGAAATTAGACGCAAAAAGTTTAGTTGATACGATAAAATTTTGGTTGTTTAACTGTTTTAGATGAAAGCAGTTAATAAACGTTTTTTTTCCCACAGTTAACAGTTTGGTTACTATATAATTTATGGCTGCTTGGTTGTTTTGTTTGAATATGGAAAAGTAACAATGAAATAAATTGATATTTTGCCGTTATACCAAATTTCTAACAATCTATAGTTTGTTAACAACCCTTAAAAAATCCCCACCTCTCAAATACCCATAATTTTCTTAGCGTCTTCCAAAAAGTCGTTGCCACCCACTAGGGGGTGATAGCGCCCACGTTGGAAACATAGAATCTAGCGTGTTTAAGTTATTTACAAAACATAGCTTTATTTAGAATGGTTTCCATACTTTAATGAAAACATTTTTGAATTGATCTTGACATCCTTTTACTTTAAACGTTATTTATTGATCTTGAAACACATTAAGCAAAACCAATTTTAATATTCATTTCTTATGGAAATAGCGGGCTTAAGTGAAAGGTCCCTTTTAGAAAAGTAATCAAAATACGAGAAAAGCGTAGATTAAAAGCTTTGCAGAAGTTTATAGTTTTTTAACGGAAGTAAAAGAGCACGCAATCACTAAATTGCTTTTTGTAAGAAATCGCTAAACGTTTTCCTAATGTTACATGAACTCATAAATTATTTATAAATAAAAATAATGAAAAACACAAATTCTTTGATTTTAATCGTAAGAGCTTCAATTTACTATACAAAATTTTTCTTGGAAATAATAGTTATATTAAAAATCAATGGTGATTTTTTATTCTCCGAATACATGATTTCATTTAAACAAACAAATATTTACTATCCATAGAATAATCAGAAATTACAAATTATTCGATCATACAGGGGAATACATTTTTTATGCAAATAATTGATCTTGCCTAATTTGGGAGCTGGAATCTCAAATCTGAAATTACTTTTGATTCTAAAGCTACAGATTTTTTTAAATAACATTTTTAGTCTATTTTTTGTCAAAATGAACAAGTTCAAAAATGTAATATATAATAAAGAATTGATTAAATGTTGCTACAAACTTCTAGGGGGAGTTAGGACACATCATCAGAATTAAAATTGCATGGGAACCCATACACGGAAATGTCGTGGTACGCGTCTAGGAGCGCTTTCCTTATATGATTTGTTCAGAAGCACACAAAGAAACAGTCCCTTATAGATAAGCACCTTCAGTAGGGATGCCACAGACGACTATTTATGTTAAAAGTGGTAGAAACTCAATTAACTTATGTTTATTTACTGTCGCTTTAATAATTCAATCGTAGCTACCACTAAACCTGACATTTCAAATTATTTATATTTAGACCAAAAACATGCGTCTACATACCTGCCAACTCTTCCGGATTTTCCGGAAGATTTTATTTTTATATGTAAAGTGGTAGCAATACGCAGGTTATTCCAAATAATTTTTTAAATTATACTGGTGATTATAAATGAGTTTGACCACCACTACATAAAAATAATTACAATAAATATATAAAAGCATAATGATCCCTTGGCAAGCGAATTTCAACGTGATCAAAATTTATATATATTTTTGAGTCAGATTGTTTTTCGTTTATTGGTTTACAACCTCTCTGAAAATCCATTCTCGGAATGAGTGAAAGTTGGCAGGTATGCGTCTATTCATTATCAGTACATACCCTCCAACTTATGAGGATTTTGAAAATAATTTTTTCTAGTGGTACTGAAAAGTAGAAATTTTTAAAGCAAATGGATCTCTCATAAAACTTTTATCAGAACTTAAGAATCTAGCCATATGGCCTGCACTTTTATAAGTAATAGTGGACAAGTTACGCTAAAATAAATTTTTTTTAAATATTAAGACATTAATTTTGCTACCGTCTGAAAAGAAGATTTCTGAAACTACGGAAATTCCGTAGCAGTTGGAGGGTATGTCAGTAGTTCGTGTTTGTATTATATTTAACATTTAAAAGCTTTTTAAATGTGAGTTAAGAGGCTTAACTTTTACTAGTTTTCAAAACCTTTCCCAACAACAAAGCATATTGACTGCCACGCACCAATAATAGTTTATTAATTATTAACCCTTTGGGGACGGGTGATTCATAAAAGTATTCGTACAAAATCAGAATCACGATGTAAATAAATAAAAAACGGTAACTTAAATATAGGCATTGCTAATTTGACAGACTTACTTTACCTTTACTTTTACTACTGTTAGTTTAATCATATATATAATCAATGTTAGTTCAAAGTATAACTAAATAATTTTATTTTGAACTAAAATAATGGTGAATTAAATAAATCAAACAATTATAACCCCGCCCACAAATAAACTGCTAAACTACTTTGGTTACCAGTTTTATCTTTTACCCTGATTGATACGGTTTTATGCTGGCTCGTACTTGTGACAGTCGGCGCGAAAGGGTTAAACCAGAGACTCTAGCTACAACGGATTCTTCGTAGTTTCACGAGATAAATCTTTACTAGCCGTAGCAAAGGTAATGTATTTATATTTTAACAAATTAGAATTAAAAAAAGTTTATCCTCTACTAACCACAAGTAATTTAAATAGATACAAATAAAAACATATAGATGAATACTTAAGTTCTAATAATTTTTGAAAAAATATCTATTCGTTTAAAAATATTTTGCCTTAGAACAATACCCTTTTAAAAAATAATTCGAAACTAAAGAGAATCCGTTGTAGTTGTTGGAGTCTCTTATTAAATATTCTTTCTTGTTTAATTTTCTTTTATTTTATTGTAACACACGCATAAAAAATGGTTTATACGCCCTTCTCAATTTGAGGAGCAGATAGCAAAAATTGAAAACGAACATCACAAAGATTCATCCAGTGATACTGTGGGAATTGAACCTGCTACCTTCCTGTTTCAAAGCATTTGGTGGATCGGTTTCACCACTCTGCCAGAGGTACCTCCTAAGTATTTATATTTGGATCAGAAGTTTTAACATAGCTCCTTTTCATAAGTTAAAGGGGTGAGTAACGGATGGAAATTTTAAATACAGATGTACTTACACTTTTCCGTAAAGACAAATTTTAACAACATTTGAGGGCAAGCATTCATAGATTTATTAGATTTAGTTAGAATGCAAAATAAAAAAGCTGTCAATTTCTTGTTTTTAATTTATAAATGCCTTATAAGTTACAGAGATGCCAACTTGCTCCGGACAGCAAATAAATATTTTCGAGTGGTAGTTTATTAATGTGTGATTATTAGTTTAATAAATTCACTTAATTAGGTTTCTATTCACCACTATTTCTAAATAATCCAAAGGCTTGCATAATTCGCCACTTTGTTAAGTTAAGTTACGCTATCTCGTTCAAAAAGTAAGCAAAATTAGTAAAATATTACCAAATTTTAGTT